CAAAGTAGACGTAGGCTCCATACATTCAGTATCTTTTCTTTTTAGATTTGTCACAGCGACATTTGCTTCGATTTTTGACGCTTCCGAGTCATGACAATGTTCGTTAATAGTTTTTATGACTGTATGGATTCGCGCTTTGTAAAAATTTCTATTACGGCAACGCCAAAACCATATTGTATTATTAAAATTAACATTATCATAAACATACATAAAATCATCATATTATACAAATATTTCACGACCACGAGTAGATTTTACTTGGGATTTTATTATGTTATACTTATGTTATGCTTATCAATTTACTGCGAGTTGTGTCGCCAGATGAGAACTGATTAAAAAATTACTGCAACAATTGTAATCGTGATCGTCGTCATCGAAGGCCATGGGCGATGTGTAGACATTTTAAGATAAGATAAGATAAATAAGAAAAATCCAATAATAATATAATATATTATAACATTATACTATAGGGTGAATTTAAAGTTAATTTTGTGTTTATACACAATTATTCGACCACGGCGAAATGTCCCATTTTGATTATAATATGATATAAATAATAATAATAATAATAATAATAATAATAATAATAATAGCGATTTGATATAAAAAAATGGATTCAACTAGCAAATTATGACGATTAGCGCACACGCAGTGTAATATAAAAAATATACATAGTTAAATATTTTTAAAAAGGAAGCGATTCGCTCATACGTGGTATAATAAAAAAAGACACAAACGCTCGATCCTTGCGTAACGACATACGGCAGAAGACAAAAATCACACTGGCCGTGCTAATTAATATTCGCACAGCCGACGAGGCGGCATGCGATAACGCGCCGATACATAATTGCATAATTATATAATTCACAAACACAATTAAGTACAATTATAATGGAAATAACAATAATAATGTGTATATGTGTGTGTGTGTGTGACCAGCTGATCCTCCTCGACCGATTTTATCGGTAGCTATTTGTTACGACTACAACAACATTAATTGTATATTAATATTAATGTTCGATAAATATAATTGAATTCGTTACTTTCCGAATATGGGAATAAGTAAATAAACAAAATACTTAATAGCTTTAATATAATTAAAAGTACCTATCTAAAATATCGTCAAAATTTATCGCGTAATTTTATAATTAAAATCTGAACACTTTTTACAAAATAACAATATTATAGTCAAATTTTTATACGATATAAAGAACTTTTAGTTTGAGAATTTTATAAATAATAAGAATTATACTTAACTCTCGCTTCAATCACAAAAATACTTATTATTTTTAATAACTCACTGTTGTTGACAAAGCTAAAGGTACAATGAATTTTTTTTTTTTTTTTACAATTACTTTTTGTCGAATTCGCACTTGGAAATTTGTTTCCAGTCAACGTATTGTTATACACGGAATGCAACTATAAATGACCTTCGGTAAAACGACTTGTTGTAGACCGGATAAATACCATGACTCAAGGAATTTGCTGACGATCGAAATAATATAATCATACGAATAACTGTTCAATCGAGATTAATGTTTTGAAGATTTAGTCTCAGTCTTGGCCGTCCACAAAGTTGTTTCAACGAATCAGTGATTCATTATTATATAGGTAAGTAATGATTATTGCGTGTATAAGAGATTGACTTGTAGATAATAAAAACCAACATCAACATAAGTCCCAATAATACTTTGGCTAGACATATGAATATCATACCTATACGAAAAAATCACATAATGACTACAAATAATTTTAAATAAAAAAAAAAATCGGGGAACACGTTTTGATGTATAGTTAATGTGAGATGTAAACTTTATTATTGAATAGGTTACTGTAATAGATGTGTTAATTTTGAATTAAATGATAAATAATTTTATAAAAAATTTAATTCTTAGTGGAAATAATATTTTTCTATTTCTAAGGATATTTCATAATTAATCTATAATAAGTGTTATTAGTAAGTTATTTTTTTATTAGTAATATGGTGGGACAAACTAAATTTTAACAAAAATATCGTATTTATTACACTAATTATTAGTCATTAAAAATTCATAATAATATACAAGTATCTTATATTATTGATGCTAACTTCAGGTCAATTTCGATGTACCATAGAATAATGTGAATACGTATATGGTACAAACAACTTAAAATTAGTTTAAATATTTAAAACAATTATTTTTGTATAGATTATATAATGATGGAAAATTTTAAATCTTTATTATTTATATTTTTAATTTCTAAAAAGAAAGAGCAAAAACCTTTTTTTTTTAATTTACATAATATCCAATTAGGTACATCAAAATAAAAATTTTGAGTTTCAAATTCTTATACAATTTGTTTTTTTTATATATTCAATATTATTAAATTACTATAAGAAAAAAATTATCAAAAATCTTGTCTTAAGCTTGAAAGCTTTAAGGTATTGACAATTTTATGAATTTTGAACTACAAAATATTTAAAAACTTTTATTTAAACTTCAAATACTTGTTAAACAAAAATTGTGCGAATATTTTTAACTATTCTGAGTAACTTATGAGAAATAATGTATTTACAAGAATTTTAAATAAAAAAAATTGTATACATTTATTAATCACTCAAAAGTTGCCAATATATATATATTTTATAAATATATCGTGTATTTAAAGAAAATACTCATATATTATTTTTGATCCTTCAAAGTGACATAAATAGTTTATTAATTAATGATTAATGTAATTGATTTTATCATACATTATATTTTTAAAAGCTATAAATTGAAATTAATAATATAATATATAATGTAAAACCAAATTGGTTATTATTGATATTGGGTACTCATTACTAACTATCGACATTTTATCAATTTGTATAGGTATTTTTGTAATCATATAATTTATATTAATTAGATAATGTACTTAATAAAATTTAGAGTAGTATAAGAGTAGTACAGTAGAAATTGAGCATATTATATTATAGTGCAATATTTTGTTCCGGTTAATGGAAGCCGAGCTAAAATAACTTAAACATTATATCATTTAATATTAATATTGAAACATGGGATAATATTGTACATAATATTATTACATAATTACATGATTATTGTATTATGTTTTCTGTTTATTATTTCCATATAATTATACTAACATACAAAAAAAAAGGGTTATTTTAATATGATATCCCGGTTTGGTGATTTTAAAATCTGGCAAGCCTATATTATACTACGTATTACAAGTGATTTACTCCATACAATACTAAATTCAAACTTAAATCATTGAACTATAATTTTTAATTTTATTTAGAATAAAAGTATGGTATTTTTATTATTAAATATTATCTAAATCGAGTAGGTTTTAAATTAAACCTGTTTAGCCAGTTTTTTTTAAAAATTTAAGCACATAGTATGATAGTCTTCAATCTTTAAGAGTTCAAGAACACCAATTTAGTGATATTTTAATGTCCGATCAATATAATTTATTCTATTATAGCGTGCAAACAAAAATAATTGACTATCAAAATCACAAAGGTTTCTTTACAACAAAAGTTTTATTTTAATATAAATGATATTCGTTGCCATATGCATGCATTGAAAGACCCTACAAAGAAAAGTAATTATATACCCTTAGCATTCACACTATACTTAATGGTGTATATTATATTATACTTATTTTAGTGATACACATAATAATGACATAAACAAAAATTGTTTGTAAGATTAGAATGTAAATTACATCGAATACCGGTACATTTTGATATAATAGCAACTATCGTAAAATAGTCTATTTGTGTAGAAGTATGTAGGTAAATAACGTATAAAAAATTAAAAAGCAACTAACATCATAGTATAGATGAAAATAAAGCATTTAAGCCGGGCCAGTATTAATTTCTGTACAATTGTCAGGAAAAAATCACAAAAATGTTTTTTTTTTTTAATTCATTAAAAAAAAAAGAGGATAATCCTAATGGCCGACAAGCCCCAAAGAAGAAGAAGAAGAAGAAGAAGAATTAAAGAAATTGTGGTTAATATCGATTTTCAAATCATTAAAAAAGAAAAAAAAGTAACGCGTTTTAGGATGATTCTGGTTTGTACATTTAGTTATAATTCTTATATTATACGGATTCAACTGCATATACCTATGCAGCAGTACATGAATAAAATATGATACACCAATATAATCAACGCAATTTTTCCCTCAACCTATCGTTGAAATTATTCATTTAAATAGCTATAACATAGATTTGAAAAAGGATTAAAAAAAAAAAACACGGTGGATAAAAGTACAACCGAAATAAAGGTGAACAAAATAATTTCAAAATCATGTAATTATTTTTTTATATTGATATTAGATTTATATAAATTAATTTTTAATGTTTACACTTATATTCTATACGTCGTGGATGATACAAAAAAAGTATACATTTAAGAAGAAAAACAACATAGCGATATGTACTAATTAGTTTAGCACTTTAGAGATTAATCGTAGATTTTACATGATACAAGTTATTTCAACATAATAATGTATGTGAGTTCTACGAATAATAATAAATATTTTATGCTTCAATATAGCAGACAATAATAATTTATAATAATAATAATGATAATGATAATAATAATAATAATAATAATAATAAAAAAATGAAGGATAATAGCTATAATAATAATAATAATAATAATAATAACAATAATAATAATAAATAATAATAATAATAATAATGATTATATTATATTATATTGTAGTTAATTTATCATATTTTTGCTAAGTACTTACATTTTATGACACAGGTATTAATCAATTTACCTGGTGTAATCGTTTTAGTTATTCTTTACCCTCACAGTTCGTACCCTTAAGTGTAAAAATTTCGTATTATCTTAACATACACATAATTAATATTCCGTGTATATTAGTTTCAATATAATACTTATGGTACGTAAAAAACAGAATCTAAATACAAACAACCCGCCGTGAAAGTGCTTTGTTTGTTGAAATTCGTCATTACTCATTACACATGTATACGAATATTGTACGATAAAAAAATTTTAATAAACAAAAAAATTATTAATAAATATTATAACACAATATTCGACTATCTAAGAATAGAATAAAATCGTAATGGAAATTGAAATTTTTTGAGCGTTTCTATAAGTAAAATTTAATACGAGTAATATAATAATATTATATACTTATACGCTATATAATTAGCAATTTAATGAAAAAAGGCACGACTATAGATAATATAACATTGTGGTATCGTCTCTCAAAGGCGATTTCACTTAAGCATTACTTACTTAATTCTTTTTAACAAAATATTAAATGAACGATTATTATACATCGCCTTAAAATTTACTTATTTTATAATATTATTATAAACAAAGGTAAAAGTATAATAATGCATATATATATTTATACATACAAAAAAAAAAAACAGGGCCACAGTCTTTTTATACTCGAAGAGTAAAACGGTTATATAATAATATTAAATATATTAATGTCATTTTGTTATTATATATTATAATAGTTGCGTGTAAATGTGTTTATCAGGCAGATTGTCAACAAAAATAAAAAATAATAAGAACCATTTCATGTTAAACACATTATAATATAATATAACAAAAAAAAAAAAATACCTTTTACCAGGCAAATGAGTATCTGACGTCTACTTCGTGTAAGCCCGGTAATTTTTTTTTTAATACGTCCACTGATCGGACTGTCGCTTTAGTGCTATTCAAATTCAGTTTTTTCAAATTAATAAGACCTGCAGAAATTTATATCGTTAAGCAATGGTTATTAATACAAAAAAAAAAAACAAATATTAAACATGTGTCTTACTTATGAGCGATACGATTCCCCTGTCGGTAACTTTAGTCTCGCATAAGTTCAAAACTTGTAAGTTGGTCAGATGATCCGATATGATTAATAACCCGGAGTCACCAAACTGAAAAAAAATATTTTAGTTTTTTTTTTTTTTATAATTTATACGTTTTTTGTTTTTATTCGTTTTATACACAGTTTTTGAAAAGTATCGACATACCTGAGTACCCCACAAATTGAGAACTTTTAAAGATGGTAACTTAATCAACGTCTTGGCACAAGTATCTGTTACATTGGTAAAAGCTAAGTCGACCGATTCTAAATTGCCGAAAGGGCCACAATCAAACATGGAGTTCAGATCCAAGTCAGTGCCACGTGCCGGTAATGATAAATTTTGTGGACCTCCTTTTCGTTGCTAAAAATGGAATTAATACAATTCGTTTATCAGGATGCATGTAACGAAAAAGCTAGATTTCTAAAATTTGATTAACAAATATTACTTATAAAATCACTCCGAATAAGTTGAGTGAAAAATATTTAATTTTAATATTTATTACGGTTAAATTAAATTCTTTGTTTTTCTATACGCATCTTATATAATAAAGCCGTTCTACCACGGCTCATGAAACATACACCGTACGTCATGTAATTTAATGATTAATGATAAATAATAAATATTATTTTAAATCGTAAATAGATAATTCGTCAATTAAACCGAATGTTTTTCTTGAATTAAGTTTACTGAGAATCCTGACAATAAAGTCGTGGTATTCAAACAGCCTAGTATAAACATTATTAAGAATCAATATTTGTGCCTATATATTTATATCTTACCAATTCAAGTAGTTGATTCTGCCTTGACATAAACTCGTCGTATACATTTTTACCAAATTCTGTAGACTTAAGTGTGTCAACAATCTGATTTCTTTGATGCAAGTCTTCCACGACCATCCACTCAAGCATTAAGCACAAAACGTCCATCACTATTCTGTTGTTTTTTAACGCTTCCGAAACGCACGTTCCCAAATGCTTGGCTTTCAAGTTTTTCAACAGTTTCTTTTTTTTACAACGCTCACAATCCATTAACGTTTTAAGCTATTTTAAACAGATATATAAATAGATTTATGTATTATATTTATTTACTTTATTTTTATAATTAAATAAAAATTATTAACAAGATAGTATTATATCTTTTATTTGAATATTTTCTGAACTTAAGAGTTAAAACAACGGCTGTGAGGTCAATTATAAAATATTAAACGGCTGGATCGGTAGATATACAAAGAAAATCATGAATTGTTGGAGTAAGCCAAGATTAAGGACGTTATATGTGAAAGATCTGAGAGAAACTCTGTAGAATAGGAATATATAGAAGGAGGTAGCATCAACGGCTCTTGGAAATAGTTATGAAGTCAGAACAAGTGCTTTATTTTACAATATTATCCTAGAAATCATACTATAATATAATATACGCTTAAAAAATCTAAAAATCGCTTCAACGTATTTTTAATTTATACATTGACTTTGAGACAAGAGCTTTATAAAATTTATAAATTTAATTTTTTATATAGTTAAGATTTTATGCTGTTATGCAGTGCATGTGAATGCTTGATTCAGAAACATACCAATTGAGTCCAGACAATTGAACTTCCGCAGAACACAGCTTCGATCGGCGAACACAAATCGAACCAGCCATCTTTTGTCTCACGGACAGCTAATACTTGCTTATGAATTTCACAATCTTCATGCAGTCCTATTTTTAATATCACAGAGGAAATGTCCCTAAAGTTAAAAAAAAAGAACAATGATCAATTGGTTACGAAGTGTCACAAATTTAAATTTTCATAATTTGCCGCCCCATAATGTGAAACAATAAATAGCAACCGTATATAATAGAAATCAAGCACCGGTTCTCATGGGTTCTAATATTTTAGACGAACTCATTATGGTGTCAGAATCAGAATGGTTGTCAAACTCTTTTAAAATATACATTATTTTGTGTCATAAGCATGTCGTACTTAAAAATTCTGTTTTTTGTTAATTTAAATATAATAATCTAGAACATATCACGATGTACATTATAAATTATCGAAGGAGTATATTTTACATATAATAATTTATAAAAATTCGATGTAAAATAAAATACTTAATACAAACATATTATACCACCTAAATAGGATTATAGTATAGAAAAATATAAATATACTAAATTGAAGCTATACTATTCTAGTTACCAAATTAATTATTCGAAGATAATTATATGTCTCAGGCACAATACATCGACATAATGTATGTATGTGCATTATGTCGATGTATTTTATATGCAAATAAGTATAATACATTATTATTTTTAATATTTTGTTTGAATACCATGTTTTAATATTTTATACGCTGTTATCTCAATGCAGATATGTATTTCAACAATTATGATAAAATCGAGGGAAAATTCAAATCATCGGGAAAATGGCACTTTACAGGACAAATTTTAGATTATATTTAATCTAGTACTATATCTTAGTACATTCAAGTACTGTATCAAAATTTACCTCTTTAAAGTACCAAATAGATTATAAACCAAATCAAAACGCCTTATATTTGAAAAAGTATTAATTATATTCCTAAATGTATATGCTTAGAATAGTTATTGTGTAAAATACTCGTTTGGTCATAGTCAAAAATCTGAATAATAGAACAATAGTATACTCACTCCATAAAAATTGAACGAATTAACAGCAATGCGGGAAACGGCAACGGACGCAACAATTGAGCAAGTCCGTACAGCCAGTCGCTATATTCTGATCTGTTGACAAATGCAATTCGTTTTGGCGCATATTAATGAATACATAATAATAGCTATAAAGTAATATACTCTATAGGTATGGGTGGGTGACGGTGGTGTAGCGTCAGGATAGGATTTATAAGACGTTTCAAATGTAATATAAATATAGTATATACACATGTATATAGTACTGAGTATGTCTTACATGTTTTGAAGAACAACAATGTAGCATCTCAGGTGATTGGTGTAATAGCAATCGAATTCGGCTTCCGAACAGTTAGCCGGCAACTCCTCTGATGCGGAGTATATGGCAGTAATACAGGTGGATACCATGTTCGGTAGTACCCTGTTATGGGGGCACACAGCGCTGGCACTGTGAACTCTAAACACGTACGCCGAAAATTATTATCAATTTATTACATTTTATCTATACATCATTTATTTTAATGGTATGATTCCAAACACATTTATCAGACGAACAATATTACCTGTGTATAGATATTACTACTATAGATATCATAATATAGAGATGATACGGATAAAAAATTAACACGCAGCTTTGCTTACCTCGATAAAAAATATCTAATTGATTCGCCACTTTGGTCCTGGATGTAAAGAGCCTTTATATAGTCTTGTACTAATGTACGAGCCGTCAGTGTTCTTGCGAAGTCCTACGAAGACCGAAAAAATTGGGAAATATATTATACAATATTATACATATACATAGTGGAGTATTAAAAATATATTTATTGTATACATCATGCACTCACAAAATTATGTTTGAGTATTCTTGTTATGGTGTAAACTAAGGAATCTTTAATGATAGGTAGGCTACTTTGGTCTTTGCAATGATGCGATAAAAACGAACACATTTCGGCGGACGGGGGACAGTCTTCAATCAATGGGCGCAACGTACCGATTAGTGCCTTTTCCCATGATTGTTTGCAATATTTTTCCTGGTCCTAGATATAAAAAAAAATGAATTTAAGCGTGTAAATAGTGTCAGTTTAAAAATCGTGATAATAATCAGTTTATTTTAATACACAAATAGAAACATACTCTAGTCATTAGCGTACTGGCAATAAAAGTTGGCATATGAAATATTTCATCATCGACCAATGGAATGTTTTTGGCAAAATCCACTATATTCTGTTAAATACACAACACATTTAAATATTTCGAGAAAACAGTGCAATTAGATACTAAAAACAAATATAATATTATTATGCGTTACCTGCAATTCTTTTAACATATCATCTGGATCAGATTGACTTTTTAAAAGTGTTTGGGTTTCCTGAACATTTTTCTGTAAATTAAAATTAAGAAAATATATATTACTACTCTTTAATAGTTTTTACATACTATTAAGTTTAAAACGAACCTTCCACAGGATTGAATAAAGAATTTGATCTCTCAAATACTGATTAGTTGTCTGTAAACAAATATAAACAGTTAATACGGCGTATTGGTTATGCAAAACAACGTCACGCACAAGTATAAAAAGAAGTAATTCGAATAGTACACGAAAAACAATTATTAATATTGTTAAAAATTTTTAAAAATCAATTACCTGTAGCAAATAAGAACCATTAGTGACCACTACACGAAGACAGTATTTGAAATTTGAGTCCCATCTTTTTACTGGATATAAATCTTTTATAGCTTCGTACCCAATAGTCTTACTAAGAAATCCATTTGGCTAAAAAACAAATAACAAAATAAAAATAAATTCCTCAAATTCATATTAAAAAAAGCAAATTTTATTCGTAAAAGATATAATAATTAAATTAATTTTATGCAGTTCGTATTAAAGAAAATTACAATCCAAATTTATATTAATAAATAATGATAATTTAAATCAATATTATACATTAACAATAAACAAAAAAAAAAATTGTATTTATCACAATTAACTCTATAAATGAAAAATATTTTTAATTTATAACGTTCATCTCTTTGTTTTCAGGATAAATATTTTTATTTTTCTAATATTTTATATTTCATGTCAATGAATCACAACCATGACTATTTATAACTTAATACCCAAAAGTTAAACGTATTTATGAAATATCGTGTATCACTGTATCAACTATCAACTATCAATATTTGCTCGCATTTTATGAACAGTTTTTTTTTTTTAATAAAAAAAAATACAATGATAATTTTTTTGAAAATCGTAATTATATATTGTCCTATGCATTTTAATTTAAAAAAAAAAAATACGGGTAGGTTATAAAATAGGTACACCAAAATATATGAAAATTTAGTTTAGATATTCAGTCCTCCATACAAGTCAAGCATTGATGATTAATACATTATTAGTAAACAGATATATATATATATATATATATATATATATATGCTATTATTGAGCATAAAGTCAAGCGACAAAAATTGTATGAATACACAATACAATAATATTGGTACATCATTTCAAACGTAAGAATTTTGTGATATGGATTTTAGTTAGCTGAATATACGGACAAACGTAATAAATAATAATGTTTTCCGAAACTATTAGTCATTTTATATCGGTCGCCAGTCGATACAAACACGCAACAACTTAGGTACTCGTATTTTCATATAGATAAAATAATATTATAATATTATGAAATGGATTTTTATTAAGTCACGGTATCAAAAAACAAACTAAAAAATAGTAAAAAATTTTTTGAAAAACATATTTTTAAGCATTTCACTGATAAATATTTAACGTTATAATAATTAATATGTATCTTTCCAGTATTATTATACTATACATTTAAATAATATACAATTTTTTATTTATAAGAATTCCCTAAGGACTTTAAGGGTTCTATAAATCAATCTTAAACGACCATCATTTTACATTTTTAAATTTTAATCTCGTGCTATATTTTATAAATACTTATATGAACATTTATATGGTAATATAAAAAATTAAAGTTAATTTATTACTACAAAAGAGCATTTTTGAGCTTTTTATTAATAAAACATTTTAATTTTTAAATAATTATATTATAAACTCATATATTATTTATTAAAATAAATGTTAACTAAATAAAGGTTCATTTTAATCTTTTTATTATATTTTTTTCATAAAGTTAAACTCAATAAATTCCTATACGGTTAAATTTTAACAAATATGATATGTAGTGTACCATAGTAATTTAATGTAACGATACATATGTCTAAGTGGTTTTTTTCAACATTTTATTTCCTAAATATAATGCCACAAAATCATATATTATTTAAAAATCACTTCACACAGACACAAATCACTTGAGGTCTATCCTAGCTAAGAATAATAAGAATTATTTTTTATTATTATAATTAGCGTCAAGCATCACTATTTAATAATTTAATTTCTGTATTTAAGAAGGTATCCACTAGCTTCGCCACCAGGTTTAATGTTACGCCACTAAATGTAGTCTTCTCAGTTCTGTCCTATATGAAACCGTTTTTCTCATCAAAAAATTATTTTTTGTACATTTAATAAATTGGATAATTTCTAGCAATAATGATTTAAATAATACAGTACAATATTAATATATTACTATTCTATAGAATAAAATATTTATAAATATACATCATGAATGAGTGACCCAACAATGTAGGAATTCTAAGACTTTGAAAGAAAGATAATTTGAATTAGTATTTAAATAAATTAAAAATTTTCACTTTTCATGTCATTTAAAGTTTCATTAAAATATTCTTTATTACACCCATTAAAAAATGGGTGTGGCGTTCTATTAAAGTAGTAAAAATAATTTTTCTTGAAATAAAAATCTAAATTTATTAAACTATTATTATTATTAATTTATTAATATATTCGGATTTCGGACGTATTTATTGAATATAATTTTATCGTATAAACTACATATTATTTTTCGATCTACGAGGAAAACCAAATTACGACCTCAGCAAACATTAAAACGGACAAAAAAACCGTATCTCGTATAATATATTAATATAAGAATATTATTAAAATCAATTATCATTATCATTATTGACACGTGTATCTGTTTAAAACAACGATTTGCAAATGCCACATCGTCTTCACAGTTTTTGATCAGAAACAATAATGAAAACGTCCATTAAATAAATTGTATACTCGCTATAAATTTTTGCTGCCACAGTTTCATCAAACTACTCCGGGCACAGTATAATATTATGTTATATCTTAATGTTAACGCATACCATAGCGCAGTGTGGGCACGGCCGTATGGAATAGCATATTATATATATATATACATATATATGTATATATTATTAGCCTGTTCCAACGCGCACACATGATAAATAAAAATAACCAGCTGTAACAGAGTGATAAAGTTCAATTACGTCCGTGCGTCAGCCGACATAAATTCAAACTATATAGTTAGAGTGCGATAAACATTATATAACGTCGTTCTTAAAAACGTAGAATACTGTTAGTGTGTCTATAGTTTAAAAAATAAATAAATATTGTATATCATTATGTTGTGTTTGCTGTTATAATATTATTATAATGTCCGACCAATATATTATTATTCAGCTATATAATATACTAAGCACAGAGACAACCTAACCTGACCTATACCCGACGAGTAAAGAGAGTTACATACGTGTGCAGACTGCAACTACAGCTTACACTGCGAGTTATAACTATCGAAGTCGGCACACATCAAAAAAAAAAAAAAAAAAATAACGAGAGGTACGTTGAATGTTTATACCCACGGGTTTTGCTCGTATATACAATAATATTAATATCGACAGGGCCTATTGCAAAAGCTTAACGAAAAACGACGTTATGTCACGTGTTCTGCTTCTCCTGCATTAAAACCAATATCCAACCAGAGAAAACATTAATTATATTATAGTCACACCGAATCAGGGGCAGTTCTTGACATGTCCCATTGGGCTTCGAAAATATTTCACTTTTTTTCTTGTCACAGAAAAAATAATTTTATGTGCTTCACAATACATAACTATATTATACAGAATAGTTTTTATTTATATTAAATGTTTTATGTTTTGATTGCTATGATGACCATAGTTACACATGTCTAAGGAAGAGAGGAACTACTAATCCACCCATCCATAATTATCCCGAATATATATATAAATACATAAACTAAAACCTTTCGAGAAGTAATATATTTATCTAAATTAATAATCCTTTACTTATTAATTGTAAAGTCAATAATCGAAATGATGTGCTTAAGTGTTCACTATAAAATATAGAATTAAAATGTATTAACTATTTAATAACTATCTGGTTACATCATTAGAAATTAATTTAAAAGTAACGTTATAAATATTATTTGACATTTATTATTACAAAAATTAAAAAATGTAACTTAAATTTAATTATCGTCGAAATATAATATTTCATTTGTTAAGTATACAATACACTCGTATGGATCATATTTAATGGAAAAAAAACATTTAATGATAAAACATAGATAATAATTTGATTAGATTAAAACTAAATTCTAATAAGTCCGATGAAGTGGTACAAAAACGGAGGAAAAATAAAACGTGATAACAATGATATCGTATTTATAAGTGTCATAAGAACATTGATATACAATAAAACAATATAATCTCTAAGTGAAATTTTAAATTAGCATAATAAATTTATTCTCCTGGTTAAAATCAAAAATCATTTTTTTTCTATTAAAAGTTATATTTTTTTAAGAAAATACACTTTCATATTTTTATTTTCGAACATTAGATACCTAGAAGGTTCAAGATAATATCAGATTATTTTAATGAAGTCTACTTTAAGATTATCATATTTTATATTCTGGGTAGAGCGATGAATATATTGGTTTTATAATATGTATTTTTTATTTTTATCGTGTATATTTGATTTTTTTTCTTTAGAAGCAGTAAAAATGCTTAAATTTTCAATTTTAAAAGTGGTTTCTAATATCAAATGCCAAATTGCATATTTTTTTTTATACCTAATTTTCTTAGTAATCGAAAAAAACTAAATTTTTTACATAACACCAATTTTCGACAAAATCGACTATTATGTTATTTAGTTGTAACTAAAACATGAAAATAACTGTGCATATTTAATAATTGTTGAGCTATTATAGTTACATACTAAAAGCTAATTAAAAAAAAAAAAAAAAAAAAAAAACTGTGCATATATAATCTATGAAATTGAAATTTCATCAAATTTTCATATTAACATTTTCTAGATTAAATATAAGTTTTAAATTCTGAGCGAAATTATGAAAGTAATGATTTTAAAAAATATTTGTTCTTTTTTTTATGTGTACACAATAAAATTGTAACCCATTTGACACCTAATATATAGCAGGTATCAGCTTGTCTACCTTTTTTGATATTTTGATTTCTTAAGCTATAAATAGAAATTTAAAATTTTATATTTTTTATTTAAAAATTGAATATGTTTGTCTACAATGAAAATTCATATTTTGTGAAAAAAAAAATAATGCACGTGAAATATTGTATAATATGTTGGGTATTTAAATGTATCTAAATGTTTTAGTTTTAACCAACATAATCATAATACATCGTGTTCTTGTAATCTCGTTAGGTCTTTAAATTTTAACTTAAATTACGATTTCAGATTTAATTTTACCAAAGACCACGCAATCCTCATGCGTATTAATAGTTTTCCCAGATATTAAATTACATTACATGACATCACAGTAATATTTCAAACGATTCTGTATGTATATTGTGGAAAAATATGTTGTAAAAAATTTCGAAATTTATTGCGAAAAAAACAATATTATATTATTATCACAGTAGATTGAATAACTATAGGTAATTAGAAAGCAAACTTAGGTATTAACTATTGACGTGTGTACAGGTGGACGGATCAGTCATTGCATTAATTTTGCAAAAGTATCTAATATAGGTGCATAATATTATACGTGAGTGCATAATAACTATACGTATATCTATATGAATATTATGAAAACGTAACGAACAAACGCATGTACACAGAATAAATTTAGCGGAATTTTAAGGTGTGAAACGATTTTTCGTGAAACTAAAAATCTCGCTCAAAACAGAGATATTCATTTTTTTTCTTTCGATCAGTGCATATATCTTTTAGGTAATAATATTATGCGCACGAGTAATTGCGCAATTACTTTAAATAATGTTCGCGCACGTATTGTACTTGGGTACACATAAATCCGTATTAAACATATAAATACATTCTTGGTCTGTGGCGTCTGTGCACACTGTGTACAGGCATACATATGTGCCATATGTGAAAATATTTTGGAAAGCAGTGGCGTGGTTAGAGTAACATTTTTATGTTACCATTTCAATTCGCTTTATCACCACTGCCCAACCCCACTGAAAACTGCGTCTGAGTTTTTACATACAAATTTGATGCGCAGATACTAAATCATAGTCGGCGGATAAATGTTTTTCACTTTAAAACTTTTTAACAAGCATTATTTAGGCCTTTATTTAACTCGCCACTGATGTAAGTCGTTATTATTATATTGAAGAAAACGCGATAATATACCTGTATAACGTTATATTATTATACTATTCAAACTTAAAATTAAAGTGAGCGCGGGTAAATATTGCTGGAAAGTATCAGTTTCCCAAAAATGTCTGGAAGTGATAAAAATTATTGTGCAGTAATATTTCTAATTTCTGCAATGGTAATCTAATTTATGAATTATGATGGTTGTTAATAATTTCACCCGGGTTTTATCTCATATTCAAATCGTCCGTATTACATTGTTCCTATAAATACAATTCATGTGATATGCTCAAATAGTTAACTCATACAAATAATTCTCAATAAAATTTAGGATTTTACTTTAACCGATTTCTCAGTAAGTTCAGTTGTACCGTGTTGGCATCTCATTATTCATTTTTTCATCAACGACTTATAAATCCCTGGTACAGCTCAGTCAATTTTATATTATTTTATGATAATATACGTCTAAATATATATATAATATATTCAGTTATTGAATCTCCTCCAGACTCATTAAATAACAATCTATCTCATAAAGCAATTATACAGAGAGTGGTTATTTTAAAGCAGCACTCGTTAATCATTATCTTTAAAATCATTAACGACATTTTTGTTTGATCAAATGCTAAAAATATTTTATTACATAATTTTAATTCTTAATTGTGTAAAATGTTTGAATGAATATCATAATTTTTATCGTCATCGTCTTTAACGGTTTTCACGTTTTTTTTCTATAAGACGACATATTATATTTTAAATCTCATGTCATAAAGCAAATTATATTTCTGAAAATGTTTATGCGTTATAATCAAATATCGAGCAAACAGTTAGATAATTAGTAATAACTTATAACTTATAAACTATAATAGTATTCAAAGATTATAGATGAGCGGAGTAGTTATGAGATATTATATAATATTATCGTTTGAAAAAATGTTTCAAGTTTAAAAATTATGACGATGCAAAATATTTTTTCTATTCGAAAATCGATAAAACTGCGATAAAACAAACTTTCAGAAACGTTTTAGGCAATACTTTTTGAAATATCCAGTCGGTGTTCGTTACTAAGTTAACCGTCCGGTACGAAACCCGTACTATTGCAGGTATGATAACAATACCACACAAGTTCTATTTAATATTATGCACCACCCACCGTGTTCGAAGTGATGCAATCGTCCTGCAAGCGGATCTGGTGGTTCTCCCACCGTCTCAGATACTTGGAGCTGAGTATCTTGCTGATAATCGTGTTGGTGTGATTCAGGTGGCACACGGCCACGTCTACTTCGCGAATCATGCGCAACTGCTTGCGCGCCACCTTGGTCAGGTCGGCGTCCGGTCCCCCGGCGAACGGGTGGTTGGCGCACGGCGTCGGGCTGTCCGCCCCGTCCAGCCCGAAGTCGTACACGGAACCGACCCTCTTCAGCCCCGTGGGCGAGTCCGGCCCGTTGCAGCTGTCGTCCGACGAACACTCGTCCCGGTCCGTGTGGATGTCCGAACTCGGCGCGTCCACGTTGGCCACGGTCGCGATAGTGCGGTCCCCGCGACAGCCGACCACGCCCACGGCGGCAACGGCGTCGTCGGTGACGTACATCACGACGGCCGACGAGGGGATGGCCACCGCGGCCGCGTCCACTTCCCCGTCCGACGTGGCTACGCTTCCGGCGCTGCTCGAGCTGTTTGTGCTGCTCGTGCTGCACTTCCGCGTCGGAGGGTCCGTCCGAAGGTCGTCCACGACCGTAATTTCGCAACTCATAGCGCCGCAGTGCCGTTCACCGTGCACGACGAACGACCGCCACTGACCGCAAAAGCATTTTCTCATTTAATCCCTGAAAATATTACGAAATAAATAGGCTTATGTTGGTGTAGATATATTATATTGTAGACTTAAAAAATCAAAAACTCAAAAACAACGATCGACGATATAATTATCGCGATATTTATTCAAATTTACGTATCAATATTATTAATATTGATACATCATACAGGTTTTTCTTATTTTTCGTCATTTCAATATATTTACGTGGTATTTCGTAAGTATGAAATATTTTATTAGTGTATCACTGTAACACAAAGGTTTAGAAACACAATACTACTGTGATATAGTAAACATATGTAATATTAGTCATAAGTACCTACTCATAACTAAAAACATTAGTAACATAATACACGTGTAATTGGGTATAATTTATCAAAAATAAAAAGCAACATTTTTTTTTATCTGTATCTACCTATTGATGAAATTCAAATTTTAACAAAATTAGATACATAAACAAAAAATACCCCCCCCCCCCCCCCCCAACCGACGATATTTTATAATACTTTAAAAATATTAATCATTGAAGCTTGAAATTATTTTCTATTCTGTGTTATACTATTTTCTATAAGTACCTAATATTATTTGTTTTTTATAATTTAGAATAATTTTAAGCTATTTATATCAAGAACCTCATGAATCCATTAAAAAAAAAAATTAATTTCTTAAAATAATATACATTTATTACTAAATATCCCTTTAACAATAGATGTTGTTGACATGATTTTCGTTTAGAATCTTTATAGTGATTTATTAACTCACATTAAATTATTAAATATTAATTTGACACTTGCGTAATAGTGTAATGTAATAAACTAATAATGAATTACTCAGCGAGTCACACTCGAAATTTATAGCAGAATGAGTTTCTTTGATTTTTTATTATGATATTAAAATAAATTTCATAACTTTATTTTTTATTATGAAAATTGTAAAAATTAAAAATATATTTATACCTATTTATATATTATATATACATATGCTAAGTAGCGAAGAATTTTTCTTAACCAACAATTTGAAATAACATGATAAATTCTTCGTAAAAAGTATAAAAATTATACGAAAATACCCAATGGCACTTCAATACAAATGAATTTTAATCTAACAATATTATGCCTAAAAATAGTTAGTTAAAGTAAATTGTAATTTTATATTTTCTGGGAAACCACGTCAGATGATAGCCATAATAATATTACCTCCTAAGGATACAATATCATATTATATAATACTATTTACATATAAGATATAAAATATTGACATAATATTATTAAATGGTTACCAAATTGTCTTGGATTGCATTTTTGGACAACCATATAATTGTGTAACTTTATAAAATTTGTAATATGACAAAATATCTACATCGAGTTTTATCATTTTAAAATTAATTTCACTATAATAAATAAACTGCAAATTATTATTTGTTCTGAATCCTTCAAAATATAAAAAATAAAGGTTGAATACATACCTTACCATACGCATAATAATATGTCGATAAATATACAAAACATGTGTAAACAACAGGATACGCGCATATAATAATATACTACTATTGCACGTCCGTATAAAACATATAGTACCATAATATAGTATGCTCTACAATTCATTTAACTGACAGACAAATAAAGTATAGCATTTAAATTGATATATAAACGCTTTGATCTCCAATATTAATTATTATACATTATGGCAATGGATTTAATAGTAATTTGAAAACATAGGAGTCAGTAAGAAAAACATTTCAAATCAAAAACCGATTATCATACATAAATACAATTGCAAAATAAAAAATCGTTTAAATATGCGAACATTTTATGTACTAAATTAAAATATGATCATTCGGTAAAATACTATATCATAAATATAACTCGACAGACGAAAACGCGAAATCGGTAAAATAATTTATCGCTATGCAATACAAAAGCATATAATATTCATGAATTAAGTTATAATTTAAAAAAAAAAATCTATCGAACTCTAATGAAAAATATATTTGTTACATTTTCTCAACACGAAAATTCTTATTTCCACTGAAACTGGATTTACCGAAGTATGCTCACCTCATTTATTTTCTTTGGTGATTAATTTATTCAAATTCTGATTAATAGAATTTTTAAGTTTACATAAGTAGATGCTCATTATGTCTTCAATTATTTCGATTTTAATGTTTTCCAATGATACAAAGACTTTTTTTCAATTAAAAATCAACATCTTTTACTATAAATTATTGAACATATAATTTTTTTTTTTTTATATATATTTATAAATCAAAAATTTAAACAAGAGATTTCTGAGTTATTAATATATATTATATACTAAAGAGTAAAGATAATAATCCTTTTAAATAATATAAAAAAAAATATAAAACAAATTTATTTGTGTAATATACATAACATTGGTTCTAATATTTATTATACTAGGTCCACTGGGCATTCTCACAAATAGATTAATATTGATCACTCAAATTTTAAAATCATCTTAAAAACTTTAAATCCTCTTCTGCATCCATTATCATGAACCTTCGTACACAAGGTTAAATAACTTAAAAATGTATCTTTTTAATTTCTTTGTTTAAATAGGTGTACCTGTATCAACATTCTTAAAAATTCATCTGGTTACCTCTCACGAAAAATAGGAGATTCTCATTTTAAAATAATAATTTTACCATCCAAAAAAAAACACTCTTTTAAATAGTATAAAAATCTAAATAACTGAAAATATGTTCCTTGAGTATATTTATGAGTTCAAAAACTCAGGACAATCAAAGAAAAAATGAAAGTACGCATCACGCATGCATGTTTAGTGAATAAATTAATAACTATGTATACCTATTTTCAAACGAAACAAAATTCCATTTAAATACTTATTGTAACACTGATCATGTATGGTGTTATTGGTATAAGAAATTTATTTTTACTGCAAAACTATACCTACTTAAATTATATTATATACCTACATATTTCGTGTTTTTATTTATTTTTTTTTTCATGGAAATTCACAATACCATAGTATATAGTATGCCCAACAATTATTATACCTATAGAGTATTGTACAATCTGGAAGTATGTTTGTGAAAATAAAATAAAAAATGTGTACACCTGAACGCTAGAACGCGTTCACGTGCGAACGTGCGTGTGTAATAGATATACAAATATACCTATACAATAATAATATAATATTACACTTTACCCGTCGATATAATATGATATTGTGGCTATCGGAATTGTGCACGTGTAGCAGAGATAATATAACTGATGTTACGGTGATCGATGCTGGCTGGTGGAAAAAAATAAAATAAAATAATCGAATCGAATCGAACTGTGTCCCCTAATAGCAATACATTTATTATTCATATTATTAAAAGAGACGTATCGTACACTGTATATTATATAGATAACGCGTACCTGTAGGTATATATATAGTTATTCCGTTTCACGGACGTACGTTATATATTATGTGCGTATGGCATATAACATAATATCATGAACATAATATATTTTTCGATAAAAATATTATAATATTATTATAAAACTGTTGTTCGCGACGACGCGTCGAATCGGACTGAGGCTTAAATACACACGTCGACCGCGCGATAATGATAATAATGTAATATTGTAAAATACACTGTATCGTGTTATACCATAACGTCCATAACACAGAAGTACTCTCGGACAGCGGTCAGCCCGTACTATATCGTAGAATATAATATTAGGTACGAATGTATAATACGATTATTATACTGCGCACCGCGGACGCGATTCGCACTGAAATGTAAAACTGCACCGAACGACATACAAATTGATGTTATAATAAACGCGCGTTCGGTCGGTCGCGTCTATTTCGCGTTCGCTGCGGCTGTAGTGTGACGTAAGTATGTAAAAACGCGATAGCTACGTAACACGGCTGTAGGTACATCGTTATAATTTATAATATATTGTTCATCACATAACATTATCGTTATCGGTTGTTCATTAAAATATGTAATACGTATTACGTGTATATATATGTATACATATAGATGCGTATAGATGTTACGCGTATTGCCAGTGCCGTGACTAAACCGATAGCTATATTGAGCAGGCCCGCGCGTGCGAGGTTGAAATTTAAGGGTATTATTCGTTTTTAGCCTTTATTCACTATAACGACTATGATGAAGCCACTCAGAGTTTGTTGAAATTCGTACAAAACATACGTACCTAATACGCGTGTGCACGTGCAGATAAACTACAGAATCTATACTTATATAGTTGTGCGTGTATAATTATTTTGAATAGTCATATTATATTCTACGAGTTCTATTGATTCGTGTAATAAGTATTGTACAAATAATAACTAAAAAAAAAGTTTAAAAAGATGTCGAAAGATCCTGACAAATATTTATTTTTTTTTTTGTTTTTCTTTAAAGGAAAAATACAGGTAATAGACTCAAAAATTAGCCGGTAGACTCTCTATTTTTAAATTTCGTTTTCATAAATTGTATTTATTTTTGCTTTTAAGTCTTATAGAAAAATAGTGTCTGTGACGTTATCGATAAATATGGATGTATGAAGTACTAAAATATCAAATTGTTAATTGTTTACTTAAAATGTATTCAATTAAAAATTAAATTTTAATTTATATTGGAAAATTTAAATTTGATAAAAAAAAATCTTTTTAATAAAATATATTGTGTTTAAAACCAGGAAATAAATCATTTTTAAACTTATTAAGAATTAATAGGATATCGTAAGATAATTTAATTATTAATTAATATTAAATATAGTATCAATAATAAAATGAAATTCTCATAAATAGATTATATGCCTATAAATCTTTCTTCGAGTTTTATTAGTAATAATTAATGGTTAATAACTTAGATACGTGGTATGTGTAATAGGATAAAATATATTGAAATTTTAATAATTATCTTCAGTTGCTGCGTTAATCGACTATCTATTCACAATATCAACATTGTCAAAGACCTTGCCTATTGCAAATAGTTGACATTTCTCTGAAGAAATACATTAAATTATATTT